TTTCTTTACGTCTATTATTTTATACTTTTAAAAATTGAAATTTGTTTACGTTTCTTTACGTTTATTATTTTATACTTTTAAAAATTGAAATTTGTTTACGTTTCTTTACGTTTATTATTTTATACTTTTAAAAATTGAAATTTGTTTACGTTTCTTTACGTCTATTATTTTATACTTTTAAAAATTGAAATTTGTTTACGTTTCTTTACGTTTATTATTTTATACTTTTAAAAATTGAAATTTGTTTACGTTTCTTTACGTCTATTATTTTATACTTTTAAAAATTGAAATTTGTTCACGTTTCTTTACGTCTATTATTTTGTAAGCTAACAGTTAAGTTTATTTATAAATTGAAACACTATAGAAAAAAAAAAGTTTTCCTTTTTTTTTGAAAACGAAAACAAAAGAGTTAAATTTGAAAGAGTTAAGTAAGTTTGAAGGGGTTTAAAGTTTGATTAGGTTTGTAAATGATGATAAAAGTAGGAGTAAAGGTTGAAAGAGGATGAGATGAAATAAGGAAGAATAATGAAATGAAGCAATGGTAAAAAGAAAAAAGGCAAAGAGGAGAAAGGCTTATTGATGATAATATATCGGAGATGATAGGGTGGGATTGAAGCAAACAAAAATCGTTTTACTTCTAGATGAATGATTGAGTAGTTTTAAAAACGAAATGATAAAAAGAAAAAAAAAAGAAACATTATCAAAGTTTGAATCATATACTGTCTCCGGAGAGATATTTATTGATAATAATGAAGTAACCAAAATTTGCATACTTATTGATGTAATGTAAATCTCTGGGGTCATATTTAACAACTTAGTCACTAATGTCATCGTGATCTTATGCCAACTACTAAAATACGAAATTTGTGTGATTATTTGTCAGCTGAAGAGATATACTTGTCTTTTTTTTTTCTTCTTTTTTTTTCTTATATCAAAAAAAAGCTAAGTTATGAGATATTAATGTAATGGTAGTTTTATTCAGTTATATTATAATTTAAAAAAGGAACGATAATAATTATTATGATAAAATATACGAAATAATGTTAATTATTATAATCAAATAGAATATTACACAAAGAAAATGATAAATGAAATGTGATAAATTGCTAATCATTTAGATTATATATGAAATAATTATCGAAGTTTTAAAATTTAATTAACAAACTTTTAAAGTATGCAATGAGAAAAATAAATTGATTTCATGCATCATATTCGGATAATAAATTGTATTCATTTATTTTGATATTTTGATTTCTTTTGGATTACATTATTTAAATGAACATTCATGAATCAAATAATTTTTACTTAATTTAATAATCATTAATTAATGATCATGAAGTGGAGGAATTCAAATATGTAAGGTATCAACTGTTTCTTTATTACCATCATTCTTCATTCTTTCAATCATTTGAATGCATGTATGAAATTTTAAAAGGTAATTACCATTCAGTGAAATTAATTAATTCATAAAATTGATAATTCATTTTGAAAGAATCAACAGATTCAATTGCTAAAAGTGATTCTACAACAATAACGGATTCAATTGGTTCAATTGATTGAAACCACTTAAATCTGGTATTGTTACAGAATGAGTTTCAACAATTGAATTCGCTGCTATTGCAGAATTGGTTTTATGAGCTAAATCCATCACTGATATAAAATCGTTTCCGCCAATTGAATTTGTTACTACCGTAGAATCGATTCTAATCAGTTGAATACTTTAATATTGCAGGAAAGACGGAATCTCTTCTGTAGCATTAATTAATTCAAATAATGAAACCGACCTGAAATAATGACGCATTCAAAAGAATGAAATCTCTTTTTGTTGTATTAATGGGATTCAGATGATAAGATTAATTTGAAATGTTAAGGATTTAAATAATTAAATCGATCTTTGGTTGATATAATAAAATCTTACAGCGATTCCATTTGAATATTGCAATGATGGAAAGTTTTTGCATTATAAGGTTACAGCAAAATTTAATGTATTTATAAAAATATTAAATATTAGCAATAAGAAATAAACTGAAAATAAAGAAAGAAAAGAACTTTAAAAGTTAGCTAATATCATAAAAAGTTCAAATAAGTAAGAAAGTATGAAAAATAAAAGAGAAAGCTATTATAATATATTACTATCATTTCAAATTATTATTTTCAGAATTTTAAAATTTGCATAAACTATTGTCAAATATTAATTGAAAAGACAATTTATGTAATGTTGCAATCATTGTGGGGTTTAAATTTTGAATTTTTAAATTTTGAGAAATTATAAAAAATTTCGATGTAAATGACGAAAGTATTCAAAATTAATTCAAAATTGACGCCAAAAATTATTTATACAGATTTGTTATGAGTCTTTAATTTCAAATATGATTGCATGATATTGTGCAAAATATTTTTTGCATAATTATCTGACAATTTTGCTATTTTGTTTTTTTGATAAATCCAATCTGATTGTGGTAAATTTAGATATTTGATGCATAAAATGTAAACAAAATTTTAAATTAAAAATAATCCAAAATGAGTTCAAATTTGAAACAACCTAGAATCATTTCAAATTTCGAACAAACAATAAGACATATAAAATGTAAAACAAATAAAAGCACGCTTAATTTTATTAAAACTTCAGATTTGCTCATTTTTTCTCACCTTTTTCTTTTCTTGTTAAATAATCCATTACTCATTATTTCAGGTCTAGAATAATCATTAATAAAGGTAAATCTGAAAATAATTAATGAGTAACTGATTTTAACAATGATAATGATTATCCTAACATAAACGATTGATAGTCAAAAAAAAAATCTGTTAAAAAATTCATTTTCAATCTGCCTTTTTTTTTCAAATGAGCTGAAATAATTAATAGGATCAACCTAAAAGTCAAAGTGTCACGACTTACAGTCAAAGTGTCACAACTAATTTTTTCATCCATTCATTTCCAATTTGTTCCAGTTCTTCATTATAACTTTAACTATTTGAAAATTTGCCTATTTATATATAATATTATGTTAGATTTGTGTATTTTTCCAAATTAAAAATAGGAAAGGTAAAAAGTAAATGATAAAAAGCTTAGCAACTAAGTGCCAAATGATTTCATTCTCAAAAAAAAAAAAAAGGAAAAAAGGGAAGGGAAAGGAGAAAATGAATGGAAATGGAAAATTATTTTTGCAAATGAAAATAAAAAATACATAAAAATAAATGAAATGATAAAAAGCTTAACAATTAAACATCAAATGCCTTCCATTATCAAGAAAAAAAAACAAAAGGAATGAAAAAAGAGAAAATGGATGGAAATGGAAAATTGTCAAATGAATGGAAATGAAAAATCGTCTTCTTTTTTGTCAAATAAAAATAAAAATACATAAAAATAATGTAAATAAATGATAGGCATTTGTATATCGAATAGAAAATAAATGGAAATGAAATGAAATAAAAGAAAAAAAGAACATAATAAAGATACGAATACTGTATTTAATGATATCATAAATATTAATCAATTTAAAATGATATAAAAGAATTAAATATTTTTGCTCCTAATAATTTCCTTCTTTTTCGTTTCTTAGGCATCACAGTGATATCAGTTTCTATGTTTTTAAGTGTTTATTAAAAAACCGAATGATTGATAATGTAATTTATAAATATAATATTAGGTGATTGTCACTTGTAATCAATAAATAATAAGCATTGTCAATTTGGCACCAACAAAAGTAATTTGGAATAAAACAAAAAGAAAGAAAAAAGCTTTTTTCTTAGCTTCAAAATTTTGCGTTGTTTTCAAAATTTTTCTTTTTGCTTCAAAAAGCATAAAAAATTTTTAGAAAGTAAGAATAAAGAAGTGAGGGATTATTAAGTTTTGTCTTTTTAAAAATACAATTTATAACTGTTCAAGTAATCAAATTTGTTTAATATTTTTTAATTTGCGCAATAATGATCGTAATTAAATAGAAATGAATGAATTATTTCATTTCAAATTATGCTTAAAGTAACATCATAATTCTTTTTTCTTTTTAAGTGAACAAATTTAGGAGTATTCTGTTTATTTTTAATAAAGTGATTTAAACATTGAATTGGATTATAAAGGTTGATTTCTGAAAGTAAGGGAAAGCAATTTAAGGTATCAATTATTTTCATATATATAATTACCGTTGTATCTTGCATCATTATTTGATGAGATTATTTGTAATGCTTTGTAATATTATAATAAGAGTTCATTTCAAATTTATTCATTGATAATTCAATCTAATTTCTGATAAGCAAATAAAACATACAAAATTCCGCACAGTTTTTGCACAACAAGAAAACACAAATACTTGATGAGCAGAGTAATGATGATAATACTAATAGCAGTGATAATAATAACAATGGCAACACTAATAATAATTAATAATAATAATGATAGTAATAATAATTAATAATAATAATATAATATAATAATAATAATAATAATAATAAATAATAATAATAATAATAATAATAATAATAAATAATAATAATAATAAATAAT